GAGAGTTTCCACGTAGTTTTTGTGCTCATTCTGTTTGTACATTCATACAATCTGGTTAGCTACGGTCTACGTTCGGTTAGTTTGAAGAAGCACACGATACCTTTGTGACGCTGTGTGCATCCGAAAACGGTTTGCGAATGTCAGATACACGCCATTCCACATCGTCGATCCAGCGCATCGTCCGCATGCCGAGAGTGAAGTGATTGCGAGCTTCAATAACACTTGCCATGCCATCGAGCTGGTCGAACGTTGCAAATCCGTAGTAGGGCCAATAAGTTAGCAGATCAATATCGTCTCTTATCTCGATTGCTTCAATAGCTTCCATGATCTTGTTCATCTGGGGGATGGATTTCACGACGGGGATGTCTTGGCCGACCGCGTTCGACCTCACTGATACCTTTCCACACACCTCAACGGTAGGAATTACTAGAGTGTCTAGCATCGCTTTTGTGTGGAACATGCTTTAGGGACCGTCTAATAGAGCAGCAACTTGGTCAAAACTTGCTAGCTTCCCTACCCGTCCCTCTCGATATTTTGTCGCCAGCAAGATTGCCTTTTCGTGTTTTCCTTGGCCTTCGCCCGCTTGCGCTGTGCTTTTGTCATTCCATTAACTAGCGGACGCTCCGCAAACTTCCACTTGGCCCCGCCACGCTTGGGTTTCAAAATGGTTTCCATTTTTGGTGCAGCTCTCGATGTCTTTTTGGCAGTGTTGGTTTGAATTTGTTCTTCGCGGACTTTATCCTCGACGAGAGAACCAACTTTGCTACTATTGAAGTCGGCTTCGCTGCTGCGTTGTTTTGTACCACGCCTGACCACTTTCGGTTCTGGTTCCACTGTGGGTTCCATGTCTCCTTCCTGACCCACGCCAGTGTTGCTCCCACTGTAGTACACAGGTGCTCGTCCACAACATTCGGTTCCAACAGTTGACTGGTTTCCCCGGAGAACGACATCTGCGAAAGCGTCGCACCACCAGCTGGAGATACTTCAGAGAACCCCTTAAATATTGTGTCATTCTTTTGAGTGAACGCCACAACGTTGCCACTGTTGAGCGCTTCGTAGAACTCTTCCATCCATTGTATAGCAGCTCGATACGTGGATGTCGACTGCAACGCCATACGATCGACAATTTTTTCGGATAGAGCCTTCGATTCGGTGTACCTCGAAGTCCTTGATAATGTTTTTCTTTTGGCAACGGGGCGCACGAGACTTAGCGAAGACCACCGAGCGATACTTCTCCCTCAGCAATATTTTTCACCGGACTGTGGACGATCCACCTAGTAGAAATGAAGCGCATTGAAGGGATAACGGTCTCATAATTGCACCTGCCCTTACGAACATTACGTGACGGCACGGTAACAGACATGTTTGCATGAATACGCAGTTACATTGACTTCGCTGCATCACAGAACATCGAACCCAACGTTAACAAAGAAAAAGAATAACTTAATCTAAACCAAAATAAATACAAAAAGATACCTGAGTGTCGACCTCACACGTAGACGCACTCTTTCCACTCGACACTACGGCTATGCTAGCATTTCCCATGTTCACAGTGTAGTCAGCTCCAGAGCCTGTAGCGAGCGCATGCTCCTCCGAGACAAGTCTTAACGCGAAGTCACTGATTTGCAAGGCTAGCGCTGCAAGCTCAGGGTCCTCGTTTAGTCCACTTGGCCTCCCTCCTACGCGGTTAAACTCTGCAATGTACTTCTCTTCAGCGTAATATTGTAGGGTAATAAGCGTCGTCACAAGCTGGTCGATTGTAAAGGTATCTTTGATGACACCTTTTATCTTTCCCCACTTTGCCTCGATACGGTTATTAGTGTTGTTCGTCAGGTGCGGGACATTTCCGCGCTTGTATGACACCCACTGGTCCTGCGAGCTATCCCAGTTTTCTGTGAAAGTCCTAAATAGAGGATGATTCTCGTTACCGCCGAGCATTTGGAGCATGGCACCTTTTAAATCCTCGTAATCCTCCTCCGACTTTGCATAGACCAGAAGACTCATTAGAGCCTTCACTTCCTTGCTCACAGGCTTGGCCAGACGGGCTGCTTGCTTCTTCAGCCATGTCAACACATGACATTGACAGAGAAGCTGAGTGGCCTGCGGAATCATCTCGTGCAGGACATCCTTTTCATGAACAGCTTTGTCGGTCATAATGACGCGTATCTTGTGCCAATCTGAATTGTTTTTTCTTGAATATCTCCACCACCTTGCGCAAATTAACCTTATGTTCGCTTTTCACGAGTGCATGGTGGACGTATTGACCCTACACGAAAAGGATACATCATATATATTCTTAGAGACTCCACAATTATACATTACGTAAGTCGCTACAGCCATACCTTCCCGAAGACGTTATGCACCACGAAGCTAAGCAGCTTGTACCGATTCGCGTTAGTGTCATGGGTTGATTCCATTATCACAACCTCGGGAAATGCCGAGAACAAACGCTTCATATTCGAAGTCTGGAATGTGACGACACGAGCAATATCGTCTTCTCTGTCCACATTAATCTCGGCGGTGTTTCCAGCATTCTGACTGCAGAACTCATCCAAGACGGCGAAGGCTCTTTCTGCATCCGTCAAGTTGCCTCTTTGCTTGCAGCGAATTCTCTGAACCATGTTGTGTACGTCCTTCAGCGTCATCTTTCTTTCTACATATCACACAATAAATACCAAAATTACCCTCTTCAAAAACTGAAATCACTCCAAAAACATTTAATTTTACCTGTGCGCTCGCGAAGGTATTGCAGAATCCCTTTGACGTTGGCACCATCTCTGTGGAGGACCTCGACATCGTTGGTCAGGCGCACATCTTTCACAGTTCGATTTTCAGCATCGCTCTCCCAAAGCGCTTTGGTGAGATGATGGTTGTGTACACTGGACGCAGACATTTCAGCCCCCAGCCTCCATACGAAGTCGCCGTAACACGCGCGTTCAGCTTTGCACTACACTTGGTATCTCGAACCTTTCGATGCTTGCGCTTCCCCTTGCCACGTGCCTTGTATTCCTGGCCGTGGATACACTTAAACGTGATGGAGTAGTTTCCCAGTCGGTAGGAATCAAATTCACTGCCTTCCTAGCACGTTGCCGGCGGTCTTTAGAGCGTCAGCATTCTTCGTCATCTGGTTGTTTCGGATCTTCACTGACGTACTCGTTCGCTTCGAGAATTGTTGGTATGTCTCCCGCTGGAACACTTCGAATGCGGCGTGAAAAGCCTTCCAGGAATCGTAGGTCTTCTTCAAAGACCCGAAACGTACTACTTTTCTGTTTTTCGAAAGTGTTTGGTGTATTTTTGGTTCAGCACCATATTTAGACTCTCCAATCTCCTCATCTTCATCAGAAGATTGGTCTTCGTCTTCGTTCTCCTCGCTTATTCCGTCCACATCATTCTCATCACTACTTCCCTCTTCGTCTCCCATTACATCGTCCATTTCCTTCTCGTGCGGCGCATCGTGAAGGTCAGAGTCGTCCCTCCCGTCAGTCGAGGGCAGAGGATCTGCGTCTTCGAAAGCTTCTGCATCTTCTTCCACAGCAATGATATCCGCCAACGCACGGTCATTATCGGTCGACCCCACCGCAATCGTGTTTTCTGGATACATGAGTCGTAGAGCACGAGTTTTTCATCTATCATCGCCCGGTCAGTCTTCGCGACTCATCCTCAGCTTTGCGGCGGTCTTGCGAGTAGCTCGCTGCTGCCCATGTATGGCGAGATGCGCAGCTTTCTCCCCCTGGCGAGAGCGCGCAATCTGCTCTGCGTTAAGAGCCGCCAGAGATAACTGATTTTGCGCAACAGAGGGAGCTGAGTTCCAGCCGGCCTAACTTGATTCCTCAACTGACGCTCGTTCTGACGGATTTGAACGCGCGCAAGCTCTGCTGTGTTTCGTTGCGCACGCGTGACGTTGCCGTGGCTGGGATATCGAGGGAGGTTGTCTCTGTCCGCCTGTCATTCGTACAAGTTAGCTATTATTACAAAAACCTTCTACTTGTAACATACAAACGTACCATGCCAAGAAGTCAGCTTCAGGGTTTGAGCCGCACCAGGAATCGTTTGTTTTGCTGCCGAGGGGGGAGATTCGCGAGTGCCAGTCGCTTCGAAAGCGCGGGCTTTTAATTTTTAAAAAGTTGTTAGGCTCCCGCCCGTAAAGTATTTAATTTTTTATTTCACTTAAGTTCGTCCCGAAACGCGATAACTGGCTCTATACGGCCCACCAAGAGTTGACATGATATGACAACAAGTACACTGAAAGTAGAGGCTAATTTTGGTAGCAGCAGCGAGTTCATATTTTTGAACCGAGCATACTGGAACCAAAGAGCTCGATGAGACCTGCTCAAACCCCATTTTTTTCTTTAGATTTGATCCCATTTGTCAAATATCCCGAATTTGTGATGTCACTAAAGTGCAAATCCATGCGCTACGACTAATTACCGTGACTCACGGCGTGAGCGGTTTCACAACATGAATGGAATTCGTCGTGCAAAATGAACGAAGCATGAATTAGAAACGTTTCTATTGAGTAGAAACGATTCTACTCAAACATCAGTCTGATACACTATGAGTTAACTAATCTTTTGCGGTAATGTTGCTGTGTCTGGCGGCGGCGTGTAAATGTGCCTGGCGGTTGACTTGGGCTGATACGTGCGCAAGCGCCATACAGAGGCATCACTCATGTAGCACTCAGGCTCGATCATCGGAACGGTGTTCATGGAGCAGTGCTAGATAAGTTACTTTGGTGCCGTCTGCTACTTGAACACGTAAGCTAGGGAATCATAACCAAACAACGACACCTAATACTTGTAATGCTGACGGAACGCTCAAAAGCTACGCTGCTACGCAGACAACTAATCAGCACCACTTCCTAATATTTTCTGCACAAACCACTCCTACGTAAAGAAGGCGGGAGCCAGATATACTAAGAAGTCTTTTAAACCAAGCACAAGACAAGTTATCGGTAAAATGCTTCGTTTTTATGTGCGAGTAATACCCTTCGTACGCTTCGATCACATCGCCTTAATCGCCTTCACCAGGTCCGCAAATTTCTTTGTCTCCCCCATCTCGTTCAAGAAGTTGCTGTAGGCTTGGAGTTTTATGTATTTAGTGCTTTGCATATATTGAGTAAGCCCCTCCGTTTCCTGGGTTGTCATAGTCTTAAGCTGCGTGCTTATACCCAACTTGGTAGCATACTTGCCTGTGGTCATCTTGTCCTTCATCATGCTCATCATCTTTTGAGGGGTCAAACTTCTTTCTTCGGAATCAGTGTTGTCTTGAGTGGTCGTGTGGTGAGTTCTCAACAGTCGGGTTGGTGAAGCAACGCTTGTAGAGACAGAAGACATCGAAGATACTTCCCCGGCAAACAAGAGAGTCGCCGAGAGCACCACTAAGATTTGATAAAGACGCATAGTGTGGCCGGATCCACTGAGGCGAGGAGAGCAAATTGCAAACTGATTGCTAGATGGCCTACATGGATAACGGTACTCCACCGACCGATACCGTATCCGTAATACGACGTAATACGGATTCCGAAATACGGCGTACTGCGCACTGTCTTCATGTACAAAAGTACTGTTACATGTAGTACGCCGTCGCACAAAGTACCACTGTACAGGGCACAGACTGTTCTAGTACTGTAGAACTTCTACAGTACTAGAACAGGCAGTGACTGCCAGCCTGGCAGTGCGTGCTTTGCGCGGTGCAGGCTGCACTACAGCCTGCACGAATGGTCATGATTGTCGATGGCTCATACAGTACTGCACCCCGTTTTCACGCCCTTGAACCTTTGATAAACCTCCGGATGTGATGAGCCTGAATCCAAATGAACGATAGTTTGTCTGCTAAAATCCGATTTTTTTTTGCAAATCCTTTATGTTCCACCCCCGCGAAAACGGGGTGCAGTACATGTATTCGGCGAATATTATTCGCCGTCGGCGCAGTACTTTTCTTCCATGATTTGAGCGCCACATCCCATGATTCCATTTTCAATTCATCTTCGCCGTCGAACTTCGACTCGAAGACTTCGAAGTACAGTTTACAGCACACCAGGGTACTCTACTGTAGATATCCTTGTGTAAAGTGAAGAGTCTACAGTATTGTTTACCTGGGACTAATCATGAAAGTTGCAGTGTAACGTCATCACCTTCTTTGTTAAGAAAATGGACTGAAGTTCAGTAACTGAACACAAGCGAGCTCGCTGCGCTTTGCTTACTTGCACAAATTTGTTGCCTTGGACTTCCCTGGATGTATTCCAATATTTCTTTTTTTTTCTGCGGCGAAGCTGTTTTTGTTTTTCAACTCACCCTGGACCAACCTTCTGTATCTTATCATATACACAACATAACTAATGGAAATTGTTAATGTAGTTATTTTTCTAATCACCAACAATACTGCTCACTTGATAAACATGCTGTATTTGGAAGCACCCGAGGGCTCTCTTAACTAGATCGTCTTTTACTTAGCTGGGAATATATGTTCCAGTTTGTTTTATCACTTACCTTTTTCTCACTGTTTATTAGCGACCCCTGCCCACGATGCGTTGGAGCATTGAATATCGCTGTGGCGTAACGCATCATTTGAATTGGCAAAAAAAACTTGTAGTTTTAAAAAAGGGTTACGATATTTACAATAGTGACTTCCCCACAGCAAAGTACGTCAGAATTGTCCTTTTTGATAGTTTCGTTTTCCATATAACGAGGGAGCGGTTATTGCCTTGTTAGCTGTTAGACTTCGAGAACTGATACATGTATTTTATTCATGTCAATGGGTATTTTAAGAGCAAGGATTACTACTGAAGGGTTCCTCTGCACGTGGCCTGAGACAAGCCGCACTAAACAGAGCCACTTTTAGTGATGAGAGGGAAACATCACAGCTGTCGCCTTATCTTTTAAACCCTTTCGCGGCAAAAGGGCGCAGAAGTCGCCTTTTAGTGGTTTGTGCAAAGAACAGTAAGAATCAGTCTCTTAATTAACCCTTTTACAGCGCTATTCTGTATTCTACAGAATAAGAAGTATGACAGGACATAATTTCCAGCAAGCTTGTAATCGTCGCAATTCCTCGCATGCTTGTGTTTGTAAAGGGTAGAGATGGGTGGTTCGATCTTGAAGGATCTACGAAGGGAAGATAGCCGGGGATAATTCGAATTGAATAGAAAAGACAGTATAAGATGACTGGAGGTTTTGAAAATTCAGTTTCTTGCTATTTTCGGCAGTTGTTGGTGACCACAGATTTCAGATTTATTCGAGAATGAACGCTCCCAACGAGAAACCGTTCACGCAGTTATGGCGCGAGCTATCCAAGGCAGGATGGAAAGCGAGGAAGCCTAAAGGACTGAGTGCGGACTTCACGTACGTGATGCCCAGTGTGACTGGCCGCTTGGATGCAGAGAAGCGCGGAGTTAAATACTTCGTTGGTACGTTCTGCAGACAGCTCGGTATATATACTCACAGTACTGACAGATATGTGCAGGCGAACAAGAACTCATGACATTTGGACGTCGTCAGGGGTTGCTGGAGCTCTCACCTTTGCCATCACTCCCAGCAAGGATCCCCATGGGAAAGAATGCGGCGTATGAGTTGGCCCGCCGTCGTGCGCCGGTTGAAGAAGTGCTGCCAGCGGAAGAACAAGCGGCACCAACTTTGGAGGTGACGCCTACTCCTCCAACTCCTCCTTCGAGTTTCCCTCCGCGTACTTCAGCTTCTACACCGTCGACTCAAGCAGGTCAAGCAATTCAGCCAGATACAGAGTAAGAAGGTGGGAGCACCACTACTAGTATGGAGGATCCGGAATACGATGTACGCTCGGGTCATGAACGTGCCGACGAGTCGAAGAGTGAAAGAGACGATTTCAACGGGATTGATGAGTTTGATGGAGAGAACTTCATGGATGCGCTACGTGGGTAGAAGCTGTTCGGGTCAGTTGCTGTAGATGATGTGAATCTGTGCGATGAAGCCGAAGATGACAACGACAGTATTGGTTGTGACTTCGATGATGAGCTGGATGTGCCTGTGTCGCCACGAGAGGACTACGAAAGCGAAGTAGAGTCTGACAGCGACTGTGAGGAGGACAGTGAGCTATTTGTGCAAGCCGACGAAGACATGCGGCGCTTGGGAGCTTCTGGGTGGAACATTTATGACGAGCAAAATTCGGGTAAGTCGGTCGTCTACAATATAACTCTTTTGATTCTTTTCTAACTCTGTATTATATTGAAAACAGGTGATTTGACTCTTGAAGCCGCGCAGTTGTACGACGGAAACTGGGGGCCAACTAGATCTGCAGCAGCATTTGCAGAGTCCTCATTAGGAATGTTTTTCTACTTTCTTCCCAAGAAGCTCTGGTTTGTGATTCAGAAGGAGACGAATTTGTATCGCGAGGCTTGCATCCCGCTTGTCGCACGTCAGCAACGAGAGAAGCAGCTTCAAGCACAAGCAAAGGATCCCCAAAAGAAGGTCGACTCTGTCCAAGAGATTGAAGAGAAGCTACGGCGAGTAAAACCTATCCAGGCTCACGAAATTATCCACGTGATTGGTCTCCTCGTTGCTCGAACCCTTTGTTCTCATACGGATGGCCTGGAAAACACTGGTCTACTCGAGAAGATGGCGCAGTCCCTCGTGGAACGTTCTCCAGGTTTATGAAGAGAGACAGATTCAAGATGATCACTCGTTACCTGCATTTCGCTAGTAACAACGCTGCAGATGCGTCTAAGGACAAGGCATGGAAAGTCAGACCGGTACTGCAGGTACTCGAGAAAACATTTCGGCGTGGCTACCGGTTGGGGCCGCGAATCAGTTTTGACGAAGGCACCATTCCAAACAGGAGCAAGTTCAATCCGGTGCGCGTCTACAACAAGGACAAACCGCACAAGTACGGGACTAAGGTTTACATGACGTGTTGCGCGGAGACTTGCTACTGCTCTCGGTACGTTGATACAGAATTGCTAGTAGTATCAGTAGTATCGAAGTGTTTCTCAGTATCATACAGATTGCCAATTCCTCTTTTCACAGAATACGAGTGAAGTCACTTACAATATGCTGTATCTTCTTCTGTATGCTACAGAATTGAAGTTTATCTCGGCGCGGCTAACAATCCAGCGGCAGCAAAGGGAACGGCACAGAAGGCAGTTATACGAAACGTGAACAAAGCCCTCGAAGGACAACCCGCAAAGCGACTTGTTGTCGCTGACAACTTCTACAGCTCGTGTGCACTGGTACTGGATTTACTTCGGAGGGGTTACTACTACGTGGGAACGCACCGCAACGACAGATTGGGATGGCCAGTCAACTTTGCGTTAACACAGAAAACGCGGCCCAAGCGTATGCCCCGAGGGACGTATCGCGTCGCTCAAGCCAAAGACTTCCCTGAGCTCATTGCTGTGTCCTGGATGGACTCGAAACCTGTGTCTATGATTGCGACTGGATGTGCAACGACGATGACTAGTGTGAGACGCCGAGTGAAGGGTGAGAGTGTTCGTGCAGACGTACCATGTCCCCAGCTGGTTGCCGATTATCATACTGGTATGGGGGGTGTCGACCAGCACGACCAGCTGCGACTGCAGCGATATTCGATACAGCGATGTGTGGCTTTCAAAAAATATTACCGCCAGTTATTCTTGGGGTTTGTTGACATGGCGATTGTCAATGGGTTCATCCTGCACAAACTCATCTTGAAGAACAAGGGAGAACGCATACTGACGCACGCAGAGTACATGCGAAGACTGCAAACGGAGCTTTTAGCAACAACAGAAGCCACATTGCGTGCAAACACCAACGCAGAGGATTTGATTACGGAGCCAATTCGAACGCAGCCACACGCCCTGCAGAATACGAACGACATGTATGATGGAAATGGGAAGAACAAACGTCGTCAGCACCTTTGCAAGGTATGCTCGGCAATGGCGACGCCCCAAACGAAAAGCTTTGAAAGCAGCTACTTCTGCCCCCAGTGCACTCAATCCCACGCCGGCTACGTACCTCTATGTAATCGCGTTCGGAGAGAGGATAGCGGCAATACGCTCACGTGCAGCCAGATTTGGCACCAGGTCTGGCGAAACGGAGCTGCGATTCCAGCACACCTGAAGAAGCGCATACGCTTTCGCAAGCGTAAGCGCGCTGACGAAGAGAAAGAAGACAGTAGTTAGCTAGTTAGTAGTCAAATCAATAGACTGTTCGCTCACCAAACTTTTCGGCCAGTTCAAGCCTAGTTCTTCTTCTACTCTTGCTAGTCTAGAACTGGCCGAAAATTTGGTGAGCGAACTTCTGCCGCGTAGCGATGAAGCTCCGGCGGCCATCCAAAATGGCGCGAAGCCGCCAATCTCACTTATCGTTTTGGAGGGGAAATACCTTACAGAAGACATTGCGATCTTTTTTTATTCTGCAGTAGCCAATCAAAACTCCAGATAATAGCGTATGGTGGATACATTGCGAAGTTTTTGTCCGTAGAAACGATGTCTTTGCACTTTTTCGCAGTGTCCACCTCACATGATTCGCGAGACAGCTACCATTAGATAAATTGTTGCATTCTTCTGTCAATAGTTTAATCAAGATAAACCTTTATTCTGTATAATACAGAATAAAACCCCGCTTTAAAAGGTTAAAAGGCGCATTATTCGCCCCTGTTGCAACATAGAATTTACAGTACGATTCGGAATCATTTAAGTTTACAGGGAGTAGCGGTGTAAAGGGGTACGTAGCCCTAAGTGTACTCTGGTTACATGAAGTGTGACACGTCACACTTCGGGATATTTGGTACAAAGTACCAAGGTCGTTCAAAGCCAACCATTGGTTAACGACATTGCATTTCCATAGGTGACTTATAGTTTGTATTAAACCCAAGCTATAAATATACTCAGCTTACATTCTACCTTAATTAGGTCACTTCGCTCTCTTTAAATTAAAGAGGGGACCTGTGAGCTACCGCTCACTGAGAGTTTGTATACTCTCGGAAGATAACTTCCTCTAGCGCAAGGTGCTGTGTGACCCCGTCACAAGCGGCAATAAGAAAGGGTCAAAACCGAATCTCTCTGCCATTTTATTTTATGTGCTTATACAGGACCTCAGTATAAGTACGGAGGTAGTTGAAACGAAGTGACGTTCACTCTTTTGATTTTGAATATCAAATTTCCCGCCCACAATCGAAACAACCAAGAGCCCACCCCATCCTCGGCATCACGCACTGCGTGTGCTCGACGAAAAGCCCGTCCTACGTTTTCGCTGACACAATGCGCTGGTCTCGCTCCCCCAGTTCGCCTCACGTAGTTGCAACAGCTTCATGTCTGCCGCCAACACGCTTGTGTGGAGCCACCGCAAGCTCGCTGTCTGGGCCCCGCCCGCGTTCGGGCTACCAAACTTTGGTCCAAAGGCACCCTCCATCCATACTGTGTCAAGGCTGCTGAAGCGGGAGGCACAGCCGCTCTCAACATCTATTGACTATTTAGACAGCAAGAAGGCATCGTCACCCACGTGGTTGCTGCTGGAGACGTACTTGGTGGAGCAGCTGGCAGAGTTTGAATCGCGACGGGCTGCGATAGCTTGCGCGAGCGTTCGCTGAGATCTTGATAATACCTCTCGCAAAGTAGCCCAAGCTTACCAAAAGCGGCTGGCAGCACCACTTTATGGCTCGCCACGGCCTCAAGAATCGATGGGGATATCAGCTCGTGGATATCGACGCTGCTCGTCGTAAGCGACTCGAGCTGCGTGACAATGAGGATGCTGCACCCCAAAACTACAGCGGCGCTCCAACCTATGGGCCAAGGGGTCATAGCATGGTTAAAGCAGCGCTTTATGGCTGCAGGGACACAAGCGGCAGCTCTTCATCTACTTGACGGGGACACGGACCCGTACAATATCGTACCATCCGAAGCGCTTCAGTGAATATGTGATGCCGCGAACGAGGTGCCGTCACGGGACATTAGAAGCTACTGGATACGTGCTGGATTATACGTTGATGTAGTGAAATTGATGATCTACTCAATCCGATAGAGTAAGATATTATTTTTTTAATACAGTACATTTGAGACCTCCTCGATTTGTTTTGACTTACGTAACGTATACGCCTTCAGTACATAATTCGTTGAACCCTTTCTTATTGCCGCTACTCTCTGTATTTAAACCCAGTCAAATTCTTGAAGCAGATTGCATCACCATCCTATCTTAAATGATTTGTTACAAGAGATAGCTCAAAAGGAATACCGTGACTTTGTAAAAGGGCGAGAAATGCCCCCTTTAGATATAAATTACTTTAGTTGCATACTATAGTCTATTTAAGAGGCGTTCGAAAGGGTTAAAGGTTAAATGTGAGCTGGTTTCGGATCTATGCTTCCTGGAAGTATGCACATTTTTAAAACTCTTGTACTGCCTAACTGACTGGCTAATACAAGAGATTTCTGTCGCACCACATATTAATACACACAGTGGGAAGGGGTTGCTTGGACGGATACAACCTTCAATCTTAATTCACAACCGCTTGCAGTTTACTTTTTCCCACGCAAATTGGTTTTGTAATTCAAAACCAAGCGAAAGGATCCTTCGGGGCAAAGTATACGAACACGAAGCTGTATCTACTGTGGTGTCTCTGAACTAAGGTTTTCAGCCTGGTAACATGCTACTGTCAGCGAAGACAGCACCTTATAGTACCGTGTTTGACCTGACATTTTTTTATTAAGGGACATGGTTGTCACTTACCACTAGTAGTAACGACTATCCTATGACCTTCCTATGACCTGGCCAGCGTGCGTCTCAATCCACTCGCTCGATGCCTGAGGGTAAATTCCCCCCCCGTCTGGCCTTTGAAAATACTGGTCGTAGGTGTGATGCCTTTAAGGACATCCGTAGGCGGTGCTGCCGCAAAATCAAAGAGCTGTCTTTCACAACCTGCAGTGGGGACCAGCCTGGCCGTTGACACCTCTCAGGGCCCGAAGGATACCTAAGGATTCGGCAAGGTTCTTGGTCATTCGAGACGACATATAGGCCATGTGGCTTACCCAACAGAGGTCACAGCCCGATCCATTCAAGTTTACCCGTAATCCCGCTGCCGCCTGGACCGGGATTCCCCCGGGAACCCTCCTCAAAGAACAGAAGATATCGTTCCGTTTTAAATGTGATATCCTGAATGGGTAACGCGCACGGAGCCTTCAGCATTGTACGCACGATCTGAACGGCTTTTTCGTACAGTCCGTTGCTAGCAGACCGGCGGGGCCGGTGATGCACCGTGGCGTATCCTTAATCCAGTCGAGACATCAACGCAGATTAGTGGCGCTGGCTGGTGACGACATTGAGGGGGTCAAAATGGACAATCCTCCAGCTCCACACACCGTGGAGGTACAGTGCCGCCCCTAGTCTCCAGAACCCTTCCGCCACTTCCGTCAGCACAGGTGTCGGATCATTCAGATCACTCTATTTCATGAATCGATACAGCTATCTCGCAAGATCCCTGATCCTTGATTCTAGACCAAAGCACGCGTGAATAAGAGAATCCGGCGACAACCACTCGCAGCGCCATTTCCGAAGCCAAACCGAGCGCAGGCGGCCAGCCGCAGGGACAGGGAATTGGTCAGCCGCTCGCTCCCCAACGCAGTCCGCGTGTGGACAGCCCCGGAATTCTTGGCTGGGATCGTACAATGAACAAGCGTAGTGCCTTCCACTAAATAAGAGTTGCCCCCCAAGCCCACAATACGTCGTAGCCGTCGCCACGCAATGAGTGCTAGCCCCTTGGCTGCCACCACATTCGCACTCTGCCAGATAAGATCCCGTCTGGCCTTGCTCTCCGACGCTCTCCGTCTTGAGCTGGCTCCAGCTGCCGCCTTGTATTGGTGTCGGGTGCGCCACCAGTGGCGATGGTCTGTCCGCAGACACAAAAGACGACTCAACTAGGGGTGCGGGTGGGTCTTGCTAACCTTCACCCGAAGCCCCAAGGCCTCTACCACGAAATTGATGAGGTGCAGAGTACTTGCCATCAGTCCCCCAGCACCGCCATAACCGGGAATTCTCTGTTATCCAGACCGTCGGTGGATGCCCAGATCCCATTTTCACCGCAACGGGTGGTCCGTCGGTTGCGCAGTGATTCGTACATCTGCACTGTGGCAACGAATGCTCAGCAGACCCGGGAAGTTGGTTATAAGCAGGAGCATGTAGCGTTGCAGAGACGCCATCGACTTGGGCGTATGGTGTAACCGTGCTCATAGAGTTGTGCACACAAGATGGCAGCCAGCCCAGTGAACGATGTCCAGAAGGCGGGCACCCAGTTTAAGAATGACTCCGTGGCGGCCCGGAGGTACTACTTGCCCCAACCTGCCATCGAACAATCGCAGATCTGATATGGTTGCGTTCGGCAGCCATGCAGGGCAAGACGTTCCAAATAACCCCGAATCCGCTAGCGAAAAGACTCGGTATGTCGAGCTGCACCGGAGCTGCGAAGCCTCCACATGCAGCGTACGTCCCTGCCAGTCGAAGGTCACCATCTCGAAACAGAGAGCAAGGTGCGCGAGAGCCCCCACCATACCTGCCACTTCTGCCGTTTCTACTGGTCCCGGCGTCGTGGCAACTGCTCGCTGTCCAGTCTTCCACATCGTCGGCTGGTAACGAACCAGTGCATGGCCATCCGACCACGTGGTCGGTGTCAGATAAACGGGAGGAGCGGCCCGCCACTCCGTTCGACTTAGCTAGCAAGATGCCCCCTGCCACGTGGGCAGCGTGTGTCCTGCACATGGCCCATTTGGTCACTGTAGAAGCAGCCATCGCCAGCAACTCCACTAAGATATCCGGAACCGCCAGACCGCCGCTTGTCCGGGGCAGCGCCGCAAGGTCCGCATCCAGCCACGCCATGACCCTTAAGATATCAAGCGCAATTACACCATACCAGACAAAGTGCTTGATCTTCGTCGCCACTCTATGGATAGTGGCCAAGGAAGGCCACGCTTGTTGTCCAATGTAGGTCAGTTTGGGAGAAATCACGGCCGCCGCAATCGCGCTTCGATGGGCCACGGTCCCAATTTTGCAACAGGCCATCGCGAGGTGAGCCCCCAACGGACGCTCTGCCTCCACCCATAAAATTTCATTAGATCGGCGGCCGACCTCGATGCCGAGGTATCTGCCAAATTCGTCTGCAGATAGGAGCCTTAACGGGTCAGGCAAGATGATGGGGCCACAGGACTCGGGTGTTCCCAGTGCAACCACCATGGGTTTCCGGTGATTCAGGCTCTGACCCGAAGCCACCCCAAACGCACTGGTGATGTCGAGGAGCTGAGGTACGTGTCGGTACGAAGCAAGATAGGAAGCAGTCTCATCCGTATAGCCTGACACATTCACAACCAGATCTCCATTCGCTGAACTGAGTCGAATATCTGGTAGCTGCGGGTGACGATCCCGTTCTTGATATAGGGCTTCCAGTGCTAATATAAAAAGAAGCAGGGTCAACGGACAGCCTTGCCTGACTGGCCACTGGCAACCATTATCTATGAAGCGACCGGTAGTGTCATCGTGAAGGTGTGACACCGTCCTCATGAATCGCTCGGGATACCCATGTCGTCTGAGGGCGCGGAGCAGGAAGCCACGCGAAAAAGAGTCATATGCTTTCATGAAATTGAGGAACAGCACAGCCACCTCTGATGAGTCCGGGCTCTCGTCCAGATGACATTGAATTGCTTCGAATCAGTGCATCGTCTCGTGAATGGTACGGCCCGGCACAAACCCATTTTGGTTGGGGTGGATTCTGTCTGCTGAAGTGCTCCTCACTAGCTGTGTCAATATCTTCGAGAAGCTCTTGTAGCCGGTATTGAGAAGCGCAATAGGGCGATAGCTAAGAGAATCGCGCGCGTTCCCCCGCCTTTCTTGAGGCAAAAGATGTTGGCCTCTAAAAAAGACGACAGGAACTCCTCGGCCGAGTACAATTTGTTGAACAGTCGAGTGAGGATTGGGACTAAGTAAGCAGCTTACGGTCGGTACCAGTTTTTGCCTAGGTCATTGGGACCTGTCGCTTTGCCCGGCTTGAGGTCCAACAAGGCCGCTCCAGCCTCAGCTTCCATAAACTCCGGCACCACGGCTTTCTGGGTCTTTGACGGCGCCTGGGCCTGAGTGATCCACGACGCCACCTCGTCCTGGGCGTCCGGTCTTGTTACCCCTTGCTGTGGAATGAGACTTCAGGCATCGTAAAGGCATTTGCTTTATCACGCACCCGTCGGACCGGACAGCCAGGTACTGGGTCGAGAGTGTGCACCGTTTTGTCCCGGAATTTACTAGACGCCCGCCTGAACATGGCCTTTGTCGTTTTACGATCCTAGTGTGAGACCTCCTCGAACAGCCGCTGTTGGTGACTCGCCGACCGAAGGCGCTGACACTCCGCTATCCATCGACGCGGTCGCGCGGCTGAGGAAGCACCAGCAGTACCGTCTAAAGATAGAGTAGCCATGGCGTCCGTGATGACATCCACCGTGTCAGGAGCGCCGGCCGTGTTTCGTTGTATGCACCGTAATTGAGACTTGAGACGTCGACCCTTCTGACGCCACGAGTTGCGATGACTGCGCCGCCTAGCCCCCACTATCCTTTTCGTGGTCAAGGTCAGCTTAGTATGATTGTGTCCCACTCGTCCGGTAGTCCCCGCGCTGTAATTTTGTGTGTGGTGATGCGTTGGAGGAACCCGTTTTGAAGCTCCACAGTACTCTCCTGGACGACCTTTTCGGCATACTGCGGCACAAAAAAGATTTTGCCCGTCTTTTCGACGCGTGTCGGATCATCGCAAAGCCGGAGGTGTACCGGGGCTCCACTCTGATCCGCATGGATGCCCGGAGGAAGGGATTCCCAGACCCCCAGCCACTGTCTCAAAGCCTCG